TGTGCTTAAACTATTTCTTATTAAATTTAAAGTTTAAAAAAAATTATATCTGCGAATGGTCATCGTCACTGAGGACATGAGGGCTGGCTTTAACTCTCCTTCACAATGGTGGCGAGGAAACGCAGTCAGTGTTTTGGTACTGAAACTTCGTGAAGTAGCAATGTAGTATGATAACCGATAATATTGGTTGTTTTTTGTAATAAATACTGCCGCAGTTTTTTTAATGTAATTGTTATATGCAGAGATCCGTTACTGTGCAGTGATGGTGTAAACAAATCCACTACACATATGATCCCGTGGGTGTCGTAATGATGGAGGGAAACAAATCAGGAAATGGTTAGTGGCGTTATCAAAAAAACTGCGGCTAGTAACCCGCTTGCCAAGCGTGGCACATTCAACCTACGAGGCATTCTGTGGCGGCCTCAGTCCAGCAGTCGACTTTAATAGGCTGTAACGGTAGGAGTGTTATGGTACTTAACTACTTACTTGCTTAAATAAATTAAATAATTATTAAACTAATAAAACATTTCTCACAAAAACTATTTCTAGTTACCTACACAGAGTATCAAATGTATCCGTCACTTACATTATTGAAATTATGAGATAAAATCGTGTATACCTTTCAAAATAAAGATACCGTCCCCATTATATGATTACCATATTTGAAAAATATTTCAAGTTAATTTTATTTAGAATTCTCTTAATAATTAATATATTTTTACTTTTCATTTTTTTTTCAAAGAAAATTGAGTCTGTTTTGTGCAATAACAGCTTTAATTGAACTGAACCTAAATCAAACTCTATTCTCAACCAGAAGTTTATAAACCGATTAAAACTTTGAATTTTCTCAATCTATTTACTGCGGTTAAGTTACATTTGTATTTGAATAATTTGTTGTAAATTTATTTTAAAATATTGCTTAACATTTTTATATGTTGTAGAACCCCGCTGCAGTCATATTATGTTTGTAGCACGATTAAGTCGGCTCTACTGAGGAAGGATATAACTCTCACAATATACCAACGTAAAATAGCAGCTATTATAGCATTTATATTACAAAATATTCATTCAGCAGATTAGGATGACTTAATACGTGGTGCTCTAGTACGTAATAGAGCCATGCTGCAGGTTTAGCACGAATGTGTCGGCTGGAAAGGACCACGCTCTTGCATAATACCAGCGTAAAATAAGTTTCGAATGGTGAGGGTATGGAACCGGAGACCTTTTTACTGTAACCGAGACTCGTTCGTCGTCGCTAGCTACACATTCAATTTTTTATTTATTTATCGAGGATAGATGTTAATGAGTCAGCAAGTCAATGGCCTATATCGCCATTCACTTGCTGGCTCGAAGGACGGTGGACTGTGTACTCGTTTGTTACCCTTATAAACTAATGTTAAGCTTTCAAATAGAATTACTTTTTTATAACAAATATATAAGGTACGTATGGGTAATATGGTCACCTTAAGCTTTGCTGCTCTATAAAACCAATATATAACATATACGTGTGTGTGTGTGATGAATGTGTGTGTGTGTGTGTGTGTGTGTGTGTGTGTGTGTGTGTGTGTTTGTGTGTATATAGCCATTCACTTGCTGACTCGCAGGACAGTGGACTGTGTACTCGTTTGTTACCCTTATAAACTAATGTTAAGCTTTCAAATAGAATTACTTTTTATAACAAATATATAAGGTATGCAAGGGTAATATGGTAACCTTAAGCTTTGCCGCTCTATAAAACCAATATATAACATATACGTGTGTGTGTGTGTGTGATATGAATGTGTGTGACATTCACAATTGTATTATATTTTTAATTTAGCTTCCTCTGGTTCAGTGACGTAAGCACAACTGCTGATAATTTGGCTCAGGCCCCGGGTTCGAATCGGCTGGACCAAATTAGTTAATGTGGGATCTTCTATTAAAACAATTCTCAGTAGCAACCCGAATTAAAGAAGTTGGCGGTGTTCCATTCAAGTCATTTAATTCTCGGAAAGAACATACAGCCGGTGGTCCTGCGCCAGATCTGACTCTCGTCGTATTGGATTACCGCTCCGGTCAGACTACTGGAGTAAGGCAATGGGCACTCCTGCACAATTGTACTGTTCTGCGCAGATGGACGTCAGACGTCGTTTTGAAAATAAATTCAAGACTTAAATATATAATATATACTATATATTTAATTTTTTATTACAATATATATATATATATATATATATATATATATATATATATATATATATATATATATATATATATAATAAGTGGTAGCTCAGATGGTTAACGCTCGCTGTAAATATAACAGAACACGAGTAACCCGGATTCGATCCCCGCCGGTACCAATGAAATTGTTAATTGCAATTTTAAGTGCTGATTTACCACGTGCTCGGCGGTGAATGAAAACATCGTGAGGAAACCTGCATGTCTGAGGAATAAGAAAAAAAATTATTTCGAAGACATATGAAGTTCGCCAACACGCATTAGGGCAGCGCGGCGGACACTCTCAGAAATGAGGGGGAGGGCTGTGCTAAGCAATGGGACGTATATAGGTTGTAACTTTACTATTAATTATATATATATATATATATATATATATATATATATATATATATATATGAATTAAGTATGATTCGTGACAAATTCCTATCATTGTTCACGTCTTTCAAAAATGAGCAAGACAGTAAATATTCCATAATTCTTGAACGTATGGGGGGAGATTAAACAACAGAACGGGGAAATACGTCATTCGATTAATTTTATGTCCGATAAATACGATTCGCTTTTGGAAAAAGTCCACAACCTAGAAGAGCAAAACAGTGCTTACTACAAGCGTATTCAAGAATTAGAAGAGAAATTCGAGCGTGAAACCCATGCTACGAAAATTGAATTACGCAACGTCCCAAAGGAAACTCATGAAACCAAGGATGATTTATTAAATATTCTGAAAAGGACAGGTGGAGTCCTGGGTTCAACACTTCAACAGTCGGACGTGAAAAATATATATAGAATTAATACTAAAAACGAGGGAAATAAGCCAATTATAGCAGACTTTACAAGCTGCCTTACGAAGGATAAATTTATCTCAAACCTTAAAAAATACAACAAAACTCATGCCAACAATAAGCTGAATACAAAAGATATTTCAATGGACGGACCGGCAAAACCTATTTACATCTCGGACAACTTACCACAAAAAACGAGGCAGCTGTTTGCAGCTGGGAGAGATTTTGCGAAGAAAAATAATTACGTCTTCTGTTGGACCTCAGTTGGAAGAGTATACTTAAAGAAATCTGAGCAATCCAAGCCTATCCTGATCAAGTGTCACGAAGACCTTAATAAGATGTCTACCGAATGACTAGATTTTAGCTATTTGTATGAAGTGTATTTTTACAAAACTTTTACACAGTTCCTATTGTTAATCCATTCATTTCTTTATTTTAATTTAATTTTCTGTAATAGTAAGGCCCTTTACTCAAACTCACATACCAATACATTCATTGCATTTATCCACAACTATAATCGTATGCACAATACAACATATACACATTTACTATATATTATAGCTACCGTTTCGCGTTACCCATCACATGTCAGCTATAATACATACATATATATACCATGCACATGCAACATAACATATTCACATTACATATTACATAACTCTACTCATTCGAACTACATGGCTATAAGACTTTTAGAGTTTAGATCGTATCACATGCAAGCTCAAACTTCTACTACACTAATTACGTATATACAATGTATTATAACATTTAAAAAATCAATGCGTCGTTGTCCATGTAACAATAGTTTGCTGCATAATTTTAAAATTCAATAATCAAAATATTTGTGTTGTTCAAAATGAATTAAATGTTGTTTGTAACCCTACTTGTACTGAGGTGGCGGACCCTGCATTATGCAGGCGACTTGTCCAGGTAACTCCAAACTCACTGTCTATTCTGACAGTTAATATAAGGAGCATTCACTGTAACTTAGATCGTTTTCTAGTGTTTGTTGAGTCGCTTGGTATACCTATAGACATTCTTGTTCTAACCGAATGTTGGACAAAAGAGGTTAAGCCACCGCCGCCTTTAGATAACTATCAAATGTTCTACACAAAAAACAAACTGAACCAAAATGATGGGGTAGTAGCGTATGTGCGCAGTGGTATTGTGGCCTCTGCTAAAGAACCGGACTGTACAGAAGGTAACTGTTTGGTTCTGAATATTGAAGAAAGCTGTGCGGTTATTTGTTCGTATAGACCAGCAGGTTTTCCGAATCCTGCGAATTATCTAAATTCTCTAGAGCGGATTTTGAAAGACACACCTCCAAATACTATAATACTTACCGGTGATATCAATATAAATATATTGCCGGGGAACGTATCTATGAGTGGTGCAAGCTACATTAGTCTCTTGGCATACTATGGCCTACTTCAGGGTGTTGACAAACCCACACGCTTAGAATCATGTATTGATCACTTTATGGTTAAAACGAAAACTAATTGGCAAACCTTTGTATTCGATTCATTAACTGACCATTCACCCATATTATTAATTTTAAATAGTCCGAAAATTATCAAGTCTGTACCTAATATTAAGCGGCTCAAAATTGACTTTGATGCTATAAAAATTCAATTGGCTAATGAAAATTGGAATAAATACTACAAACTTACCTCAGTTAATAAAGCTGCCGAATATTTAATCTCTACATTACACTCTGTTATTAGCATTAATACCAGGGAAGTTTCCACACCTCATAGAAAACAAAGACTAAAACCGTGGATTACGCCGGGTATCCTTATCTCAATCCGAAAAAGGAATAAGCTTCAGAAACAACATAAAAATACACCAAATGATAAAAATCTAAAAACCATATACTGTAGCTACCGAAACATATGTAATAAGCTTGTTAAATTAAGTAAAATAAATTACTACCGCTCTAAATTCAATCAAAATACAGGATGCATTAAAAGGACTTGGGATTTAATTAAAGATATTTGTAACTTGACTAAAAAAACTGAAAATACATCTGATGAGCTTCTCAACACTAAAACAACAACCACAGAGTCTCTTGATGAGGTAAACGGGTACTTTACTAATATTGGTCTGGAGTTGGCGACTAAAACTATTAACAAATTAGGACTTACACAAGAGCAATTGTCTATCAATGCAGCCAGGTCGAACATGTTACCAAATTCTTTTTCCTTGTTTTTGACTGACTGTGCCGAAGTTCATAAATTTATTTCAAGCCTAAAATCAAGTAATGCTTCTGGTTGGGATAACATAACATCACACATCATAAAATATGCATGTCCTTATATCGTTGAACCTGTAACTTACCTAATAAACCTTAGCTTAAAAACCGGTATCTTTCCAGATATCTTCAAAAAGGCCTTAGTTACACCTATCTATAAAGATGGTCAAAAAAATCTACCGTCGAATTACAGACCAATTTCATTGTTGCCAACCCTCTCTAAAGTCCTAGAAAAAATTGTAAACAGTAGATTGATTAGCTACCTCGAAAGATTTCACCTGTTAAGCCCTAACCAATATGGATTCAGAAAGCACAAATCTACTGAGGATGCTGTCCTCCATTTCACGTCTTTAGCGAATTCTTACTTAAACAAAAATGAAAGGTGTCTCGGTGTCTTTTTAGATCTTCAAAAGGCATTCGATACGGTGTCGATTCCTATACTATTGACAAGGCTAGAAAACCTGGGTATTAGAGGTGTGCCACTGCAATGGTTCAGATCCTACTTAAGTAACAGGACACAGATAGTCAGGATCAAGGAACATTTAAGCAACAGCGCTGTTTGCCATTTCGGTGTGCCTCAAGGCAGTACGCTAGGCCCGACTCTTTTTCTCGCTTATATAAATGATCTATGCAAGTTGCAGTCAAAGGACGTTGACATCGTGATGTTTGCAGATGACACAGTACTTTTGTTTCACGGCACATCGTGGAGTAATGTTAGGAGTCTCGCTGAAAAAGGCATAAAAACTGTAACGTCTTGGCTAGAAGACAGCCTCCTCACTTTGAATACTGCAAAAACAAAGTATGTTTGTTTTGGTATATTAACCCGTTCTCGACCAGGCAGTAATTTCCAAATTCAAATCCATACTCACCCATGTAACCGGCTACTGCGTGTACCTGCCACGTGTAATTGTGAATATTTGTCACGTGTGACAAGTATAAAGTATTTGGGAGTTATTCTTGATGATGGGCTTAGCTGGGTCCCACAAGTAACTGCTCTAGCGAGTAAAACAAGGAGGCTAATTTATATATTTAAAAATTTGCGTGATGTGGCTAGTTGTGATGTTCTTTTGTTAACATACAGGTCCCTGTGTGAGAGCATTATTTCATATTGTATTTGCGTCTGGGAGTGCGCAGCAAAGACACACCTCATACTACTAGAGCGTGCGCAACGCGCCGTCCTAAAAGTTATGATGCGGTTGCCTTTTAAATACCCCACACATGACCTGTACAAGCAGTGCGATATGTTATCAGTACGCAAATTATTTGTATACCAGTGTCTTCGTAGATATCACCGCCATTCTGTGCCTTGTCCTCCTATAAGTAATAAACGAGTAACAAGATTACCTGTACCTAGAGCCCAGACCGTGTTTGCTAGAAGAAGCTACAATTTTTGTGCACCAATGCTTTATAATAAATTATTCAACAAAGTTAAAATAGTCAATAACAGAAATGTTAAAACTATTATTAACCTTAATAATCATGAATTCAAGAAAATATTAAAACAAACTCTTAACGACTTGAATTATAATGAAATTGAGGAATTGTTCGTAAAGATCACTTAATCGCTCGTGTGTGAACACACACACACACACACACACACACACACACACACACACACACACACACACACACATACACACACACACACACAGACGCAATTTGGCCTTACATCACAATTAGTACCGTATTATCGCTTTTTAATTTCATTTTATTTTTTACTAACAAATTTCTTTATAATAGTAATATACTTACATTATAATACTAAGACAATAGATGGGGAAGTCTGAGGCCTGTAGCACAGTTTTTACTAACACAGGCTTCAGAGCTTAAAAATAATTGTAACAATAATGTAATGTATGTTAATAAATTTCATTTCATTTCATTTCATTTCATATATATATCAAACAGTTACAAATTATAAACCGAAAGAAAATTAATATATCAATCTTGTTTCTGTCTGTTTACTGCATTACTTTTAAATTGTCTTTTTTGTATCGGGTTTTTAATTTTTAATTTATATGTGGCGTGTAAAATTAATGGAATAAACAGGAAATATTAAACACACAAAATGTTTTGTTCAGATAAAAACTTATTTTATTGAAGTTATGACAAATATCCTCATATATACTATTTACAACGGAAGTTATAATTTTACTTTAGTCAAGTTATACTTTCTGGTTTTGGCCTGGCATTCTCGGCCTTAGTTTTGGTCTTGTGTGTCTGTTGTGAACAAAATCGCAAGTCCAAGATCAAGACTGCAAGAACAAGACCGATTTAGCTCATCACTATTTTACTTATACCTATGATGTATTAGATTAATATCAAAACGGACCTGATAATAAGCGCAATATCGAGGTTTTTTCGTTCAATAAAAGAGGATATCCCTTTTTACAAAGAATGTAATTTTTTACAAATTAAAATGTTGCTCAAATTTCTCAAAGGACCCTTTCTTATTCTTATCCCTATGCGTAAAGACAAAGTATTATAATCAGATACGCCACCATTTCATTTCTTTAGACTCGTAACATTGACGTTCGGCGTAATGAAAACCCTTAAAACTGTTCCATCATAATAGGCGTGTTAAACATTTGTCCCTTCTCCTTTCAAATATATAATTGAAAAGTATATATGTGTAATTTTTATACGTGGTGGAGCCGTGCAGCTATATAATTATAAAACGAATGGATTGCTCGACCAGGGAAGGACCAAGCAGCACGGAATATCAGCATAAAATAGCAAATAACTACTTACTGTTTCGTAAAGCCAGTGAAGGAAACTCGTGATTCCTTTTTATTGGAAAGGAGAAGGTTTATCTAAGTCCTCAGTGGTGATAACGCATCCACTTCGTGCTGGAGGTGTTCGCAACTGTCAAGCAGGAGCGCGGCGTCACCTCGCTCGTCACCGCACTCAAGAAGGGTAAGCTCGAGGGCAGGCCCCTGGAGTTTTTGCCTCTGAACCGGCGTAGTGAAGAAGTGCTGGCCTCATCGTCCGCATCTCGCGGTCTCGCCGAACTGTTGCGGCTGCATCGAGCGCAAGCCTCGCAGGAAGCCCGTCGAGAGCTGACCCAGGCGTTGCTTGACGAATTAGCGGACGAGAAGCCTGTTCGCGACCCCATACAAGAGCTGCGCGATATGGCCCAGTAGCACTCCATACCCGACCACGAAGTTGTTGCCATTATTTGGCAGTGCGTGATGTCCCGCGGCGAGTGGAACGAAAAGGAGGAACTGTTGGCCGAGCAAGCGGCGAAGCAGTTGCGTAATTACACACCACTGTTGGCTGCTTTCGCGCAGTCCGCAAAGGCTGAGATCGCGTTGTTGACTAAGGTGCAAGAGTACCGCTACGAGAACATGAGCTTCATGCGAGCATTTAGCAAGCTGGTGCTGATGTTATACAAGACCAATGTGCTCTCCGAGGAAGTTATCCTGAAGTGGTACCGCGACCCCAACTCTAGCAAGGGCAAGGTCATGTTCCTCGACCAGATGAAGAAGTTTGTCGAGTGGCTCCAAAGTGCTGAAGAGGAGTCTGAAAGCGGTGAAGATGAAGATTAGATTAAGAGCAGCGAGTGAGACTGAACCTTAACACGAGCGCGCCGTCCCACACATGCACCACTGAATATGTTGTTCGAACTCTCCCCACTAGTGGGAAGGAACCTTGCCGCGAATCAGCGCAGTCGATAAGTACATCGTCGTGTGGCGTACATTGGTGTACATTTTATTCTAAATTAGGTATAGATGTAGATGACTATAGCCCACAGCACAGACTTATCATCAGGTGGAATGTGTGCTCATATCACACTATTATTCTATTAAAAACATAAACTAGGTCCGCCCGTAAAATCAGCACTCCAGGTTCTTTACATTTTTAAACCTTTAAACTAGTGGTCATCGATCATAAATATCAATTTCAATACCACTCGCTTTCCTTCATCAGTCCACACTGATGGAGCAACGCCTAATGTAGTTTCTCTTTTTTCATAGAATAAGATTGACAAACGAGTACACAGTCAACCTGATTGTAAGTGGATGCTTTGGCCCATGAACACCTACAACTATCCTCTATTAAGAATTAAAATGCAGATGCGTTGCCACCGCTGAGCACTAAAATGGAATGCCTCGTTTCCAGTAAAAGGTTCTCCGGTTCTCCACACTCACCATACGAAACACAACAGCATTGAGTTGCTATTTTACGCTGGAATTCTGTGAGGGCATGGCCCTTCCTCGGTCGAGCCGACCCATTCGTTCCACAACTAAAATGCGATTTGTACAGAAGTATGAAAATTATTATAACAATGGACGAGACGACGTTGACTATTTTAAAGAGAACTTTCTTTATCAATACAGTAAACGGCTGGTGGCGAGATACTTAGAAAATATTTGTAATGGCAATACCAGACGTTACGTGTCTTCGATGTTGCTCTCCCTCTTCGGTCTGGGTTTTGAACATCTTGGCTGTCACCGCTATAGATATAGGTAGATAGGTATCTGAAATACTACTCGGCTTTCTGAAATGTCCCAAAATAACCTATAACATCCACAAGAGGAAAAAAAAGATTAACCCTACCGTTCATGATCTAACAGTAAATAATGAGTGATTCTGGTAACAGTAGTGATTAATAGTTTCTACTTGATAGAGTCACGTTGGGACGGTAGAATGACCATGCTCTCACAGAATACCAGCGTGAAATAGATGCTTAGTGCTGCTGTGTTTCGTATGGCTGGTGTAGAAAACTGGAAACCCGTTTTAGTTGAAATATGATATTCCATCTTAGTCTTTAAGTGTGACAACGCATCTGTTAATCGATTATAGATGTAGATGCCTATGGGTCACAGTAACCACTTACCATCAGGTGGACTGTGTGCCTATTTGTCACCCTTTTTCTTCAACTGTCTCTATGCACGTCATATTAACGTTACATTTAAAAAAAGTTATTACTGCAGTAAAAAAAGCGACATAGTTTTAACTTACGATCAAAAATGTCATTAGTTTACCTTTCGGTCAATATAGTTATAGCCATAAGCGACAACGGTTCTTCAATTGAAAGCATATTTTTAGAAATTTTTGTTAGTGACAGCGACACTCAAATTAATATAAAATAATTTTACCTTTCGGTCAATATAGTTATAGCCATAAGCGACAACGGTTCTTCAATTGAAAGCATATTTTTAGAAATTTTTGTTAGTGACAGCGACACTCAAATTAATATAAAATAATTTTACCTTTCGGTCAATATAGTTATAGCCATAAGCGACAACGGTTCTTCAATTGAAAGCATATTTTTAGAAATTTTTGTTAGTGACAGCGACACTCAAATTAATATAAAATAATTTTACCTTTCGGTCAATATAGTTATAGCCATAAGCGACAACGGTTCTTCAATTGAAAGCATATTTTTAGAAATTTTTGTTAGTGACAGCGACACTCAAATTAATATAAAATAATTTTACCTTTCGGTCAATATAGTTATAGCCATAAGCGACAACGGTTCTTCAATTGAAAGCATATTTTTAGAAATTTTTGTTAGTGACAGCGACACTCAAATTAATATAAAATAATTTTACCTTTCGGTCAATATAGTTATAGCCATAAGCGACAACGGTTCTTCAATTGAAAGCATATTTTTAGAAATTTTTGTTAGTGACAGCGACACTCAAATTAATATAAAATAATTTTACCTTTCGGTCAATATAGTTATAGCCATAAGCGACAACGGTTCTTCAATTGAAAGCATATTTTTAGAAATTTTTGTTAGTGACAGCGACACTCAAATTAATATAAAATAATTTTACCTTTCGGTCAATATAGTTATAGCCATAAGCGACAACGGTTCTTCAATTGAAAGCATATTTTTAGAAATTTTTGTTAGTGACAGCGACACTCAAATTAATATGAAATAATTTTACCTTTCGGTCAATATAGTTATAGTCATAAGCGACAACGGTTCTTCAATTGAAAGCATATTTTTAGAAATTTTTGTTAGTGACAGCGACACTCAAATTAATATAAAATAATTTTACCTTTCGGTCAATATAGTTATAGCCATAAGCGACAACGGTTCTTCAATTGAAAGCATATTTTTAGAAATTTTTGTTAGTGACAGCGACACTCAAATTAATATAAAATAATTTTACCTTTCGGTCAATATAGTTATAGCCATAAGCGACAACGGTTCTTCAATTGAAAGCATATTTTTAGAAATTTTTGTTAGTGACAGCGACACTCAAATTAATATAAAATAATTTTACCTTTCGGTCAATATAGTTATAGCCATAAGCGACAACGGTTCTTCAATTGAAAGCATATTTTTAGAAATTTTTGTTAGTGACAGCGACACTCAAATTAATATAAAATAATTTTACCTTTCGGTCAATATAGTTATAGCCATAAGCGACAACGGTTCTTCAATTGAAAGCATATTTTTAGAAATTTTTTGTTAGTGACAGCGACACTCAAATTAATATAAAATAATTTTACCTTTCGGTCAATATAGTTATAGCCATAAGCGACAACGGTTCTTCAATTGAAAGCATATTTTTAGAAATTTTTGTTAGTGACAGCGACACTCAAATTAATATAAAATAATTTTACCTTTCGGTCAATATAGTTATAGCCATAAGCGACAACGGTTCTTCAATTGAAAGCATATTTTTAGAAATTTTTGTTAGTGACAGCGACACTCAAATTAATATAAAATAATTTTACCTTTCGGTCAATATAGTTATAGCCATAAGCGACAACGGTTCTTCAATTGAAAGCATATTTTTAGAAATTTTTGTTAGTGACAGCGACACTCAAATTAATATAAAATAATTTTACCTTTCGGTCAATATAGTTATAGCCATAAGCGACAACGGTTCTTCAATTGAAAGCATATTTTTAGAAATTTTTGTTAGTGACAGCGACACTCAAATTAATATAAAATAATTTTACCTTTCGGTCAATATAGTTATAGCCATAAGCGACAACGGTTCTTCAATTGAAAGCATATTTTTAGAAATTTTTGTTAGTGACAGCGACACTCAAATTAATATAAAATAATTTTAGGTATTTTACTCACCGATCAAATTTTTGTTTTGTATTATTATAACATTCACGGACTTTAAAATATAAGAGCCTGTCATCCCCCATTATAAATTTTCAGTATTAATTTAAACTTAGTTTCTGCTATCGCTGCATTTAAAGTTTAAATTATAATTGTTTACGGATACAATCTGGCATTTACTTTTGTGTCATGAATTCATGAACCTAATTCTAATTCAGTGAAATTAGTTTTAAAAATACACTTTACTTATAATTAGTTTTTGATTAAGCGACTCTCTCAGTACTAAGTTTAAAATACAAATGTACAAAGAGCGATATTCTTTAAACACTGTCGCTTCTTACTTCTTATTTTTGATCGATTATAATATTATAGAGATTTGAGTTTCGAAGTTGTTTGAATAAATTAAGCACTTGCATACTTGTTCCTTGTGTGTGGTGTACAAGAATTAAGAAAATAGAAAGTTAGGTTTAACGTACCAAAGCTAATAGTTATTCAATCAATGTTGTTTGGATTGAGTGTAGAAAATAAAAGACAATAAAAAGAAGTAACAGTCGATCTGACCCCCGATCCGACCCCGTTATTTTCTTAACTAGTCATACCAAAGAGTATATAAGTTTTTAGAACTCACAGTTTCTTTCAGAATAGCGGGCCTCTCCCACTGTAAAGAGATTTGCTCATCTGCATTTAGATTTTTTATAGATGATAAATTTAGATATCTAAGGGTACTTACTTACTATTAGGAAGACTGTGTGCTCGCGTGTAAACCTTATTCTATAAAAAATAAACTTTATTCAATGTCAATTATTTCGTCACACGTGTGATTTGAAATAAATTCAATAGTGTTCAGCAGCAGTATAGATTTATCCTTGTGTTTGAAGTGGTTTGATTAACCGTACTTTTTCTTTTTTATTGTTACAGAGTGCGGGTGGAGTATTATGTGAACGAAAACACTTTCAAGGAGAGACTCCAGCTGTACTTTATTAAGAATCAACGATCGAGTAAGTATAACTTTACTTCTAACATTTTAGTTTTTACTAACAGCATAAAATACATTGGATCGTCATCATCATTATTGCAGCTGAACATTCAACATCCTTCATCTCTTACTCAACTCTATCAGTGGGGGCAACACTACACCTCGTTCCTCGGTACGAGGCTGCCAGTCGAGATCCTTTCTCACCCATCGGTAGCAAGTCCTTCGAGCTATATTGCCACTTGCCACTTCAGATTGATTCGTTAAATTTAAATATTGTAATAATTAAATAAAATAAAATGATGTGTCTTACTTGGTTTGAATAACATCTTCAGCACTACCTCAATTGCGTGCACTATCCCCGTCACCACTAATCTCAGCACCACTAATCTCAGCACAACTAATCCCATCACCACTATTCCCATCACCACTTCTTCCATCACCACTGCTCATATCACCAACACTCCCATCACCAGTACTGCCATAACCACTACACTAGGAAAGACACACCACCATCGATAATAATACAGAGCTTGTTTCGCCACTACACGAGGGGTCTTCAATAGGTGAAGTAGACTCTACGGCGACTGGTGTTGAGAGTAGTGGTGCTGGGATTCATGGTGACAGGGATAGTGCAAGCAATTGAGAGGGTCGTGAGGTGCAGTTCAAACTGGGTAAGACACATTATTTTATTTTATTTTACTGTACGGATCTTAGCTAATAGTATTTTAACATCTTTAATTACCACTTATTTCTTTTACCGACTTTGTACCGTCGGGCAATCGTGTTTCAATGGGTAATGGATATTCTTAAACCGCCACTTGCATGTTCTGCAATTTTATTTATTTAGCAATGGCATTTATACGAAATTCTATTACATAGTTTCGTATCAACACCGTTTCTCTGCCTCATTCACTCTCTTTTATGAGATTATCGTATATCGTATATTTTAATAAAATAAAATGTTATCGAAATGAAACATGTTTCCAGATTTTCTTCAGAATTTCCGCTTCATATACCAATGCTATCCGATATAAAAATATATTAATTTGCATTTAATTCTGGGATACGCTTCTATTTTTACACCATAAAAAAGTCCCTTCAGTTTAAATAAGCGCAATTATATAACGGATGAGATCACTGTGATGTCCATCTTTCACATAGTAAGCGTGCGATGTTCGGTGGAGAAAAAGTTACTTCATTTGAAAAGTTTTTACTTACTTACCAGAAAATAAAGGATCTATATAGAATCTAATTCAATAACATGACTTTCATGTTTACAAAAATATTTTATGGTTATCGCTATAAACAACGAGACTCGAACGTCAAATCTTTCCCGGCAATTTAATTTAATTTTTTTGTATCTCAAATATTACAAAGTATTCTAAAGATCCGATCAATTGAGTATTTGATGTATGCGCATATTTTTTCCGAGTAAATACTTTTTGAAGAAGTATATGTTACGATATGTTTCCAACCTGCCTTTAATATTAAATTTACTTAATAAATGTGCTCTAATTCAAAGTCCTGAAAACTTCCAGCTCGAGTTACAAAACTGTTTTCAGTGCCTAAAAGATGTTTACAGTTGACAATATTAATGATAAGCTCGTGGAAACTGTCCACGTGGTCGGATCTAAGTTCTGCATGACTCGCCGAAGAAGAACACAAAACGTTTACGATCACACTCTTAATCTTATGGCTGTTAGACGGGAGATGAAGCTGCAGTCTTCAACAGATTTGACTGCATACATGCAACTGAATAGACGGATGTCCAAACACATACAAATACATTTAATACTGCTCGTATTGAAGAAGCGATCGAGCGGAACCAGGACTCTAAGGTCTTTGCCAGAGATCTGTCTGCCAGGAAGAGCCAACTGTCAAAGCTGAAGACCGAATGTGACAGCATCGTTTCTCGGACACCTAAGATTTTGAGTGATATTGAAAGGTTCTATAAGCAGCTGTACATATGATCGTTGGATCCACACGCAAGCAAGCAAGAGCAAGTTTTATCCGACACTATTCCAATAATATCACAAACGTCATTCTGAGCGAGATTAGAATGGCTCTTCAGCACCTCAAAAATGGCAAGTCTCCGGGCGAGTATTGAAATACAGCGGACCTTTCAAAAGCGTGTGAAAAATCGGTTTTTGAATTTTTTGAATTTAATTGAAGTTATTCAGAAGCTCTTTAATTTCGTCCTCCATGGTGGGACTACTTGAAAGGCGTGGACCAGAAGTGCGGTGATTTTGTTACCGAACTACAGAACAATTTCCTTTCAGAGCCGCGTCAACGTGCTGTTTTCGAGAGTCATTACCACTTCCAGCCTCCCGAATAAGCCAGTTTCCGAAAACGCTTCATTCAGTCCATGTATTCATGTAGGTGCGCGATAGTATTGTGCTATGAGCTACTCGTATATATTATATTATAAGCGTAGTCTGAAATCTACTTAATGGTAAATCCGTAAATAGTTTTATACAATATTAAGATAACTTACGCAATTTTGACGAGTGCCCTAGGCACCATTTTTGATTCGTGCGCCTCTGCTCATCTCTACAGTGATTTAAGAGTAGGAAGACCGTACCGGAGATCTAACATCCAGTGATGAACTAAGTCATCATCGTCAGTTATCATCTTCATCAACGACACCATCAGCTCCCATTTTATAAAACATTGTGTTCAACGGAGCTGCAAAGACAACGCAATAAACGAATGGTATTCAAAAACTTTGAGATCAACCACAATTTATTTCAAGTGTAATAATATTTCAAGTTATGGGTGCCGTTGTTATAGTATTAATTTACTTATAGCTGGGGAAAAAATGTACACCTTTCACTCAAAGTAATTTCTTAGCATTTCAGCGCGGGAAAAATAATAAACAGGAAAAGTTCATCATTCCCTACACTTTGGCGTTTAGATAAGTCCCGAGAGAGAAGCTCCCGTGTGCAAAATACAAAATACGATTAGGTACTTCATTTTACCTTACACATATTTTATTTGTAAGACGCTTCAAATACATAGCTTATAATAGTCATTCAATATTTATTGAAGTACATACACAACGGTCGTGTGATGGCGGCCTTTGGTTTCTATCCGATGACGATTCCACCATTATGACGTATAAAGTATCATTAAATTATTTTAAAAATATCTATTAACTAATATTTTAGTTTTGGTCCTTGTAGCCGTTAAGTATCTCGACCTGATCTAAATTTTACTACTACATTTTAAATATTACATTTGCAAGTATTAAAATAATTTATATGCTTTTCATTTACGTGCTATATTCGAATTTACAATTCAGTGAACCGTTCTTCTTTTGATCAGTTTTAAGCTCTTTCTAGAGCTCGTGCAGTGAACAGAATTTTCTTTAGAATTTTCTCACAGAGGCGTCGAGCTTGTTAGAATATTAAAATGCATTGTTGCAAATGCTGCAAGGAAAATAACACTCAGTTTCTATTCTAACAAAATTGTATTTGTGGTTTATGTATTTTTAACAAAGGGAGAACTAAATGTCTACATCCTTTATGTGCTTACGTAAAGGTACTATACGTACAACTTTTTATTGTACATCAACCCTCACAACGCTTAAATCTATTAAGTGAAAAAGGACCGTATTCACATTTTTCAATCAATAAATTTAAAATATACTATTTGTGCACCAACTCAAATTAAAACAAAATATAAAAGAGGGGCAAAAAGTGCAGTAGATGGTCTTATTGTTCTAGAAACCTTTTCTTCCTAACAATCTTGTTGAATGGCATATAATTAGGTACATATAAATGAAACAACGAAATTATATTCTGCTATTATATACAACTAGGTCGTAGCTATCTAGTAATTACCTAGTTCGTAGGCAGGTAAAAACCTTTTTAGCAGTATCGGCTGGCTTGGACCGGAGTTGTTTCATGAACTCACAGAAAAACAGCGTGAAAAAGAGTCTTCTGCGTTTCGTTTGGTGAGTGCAGATGGTTGGAAGCCCAATACGCCCCAAAAAGCAGGAGTGCTTGGGCTGACGCATCAACGTCCTAGGATTTGAACACTAGTGCCCTAAAAAAGAAGCAATTCCGCCTCCAGGTCCTTAAAAAGAGTCATTGCCAAGGCAAAGTCAGAGAAAATATGAAGAATTGGTGAGAAACTAGTTCGCCTTGCTTCGAGGATCCATGCATTCTGGTCTCTCACCAAGGCTGTCCAAGGGAACTTCTGCCAGTCATCCCTCCCATCTCTGCACAGGAAAGACGACTCACTGACCCATACTGCAAAGGAGAAAGACGATCTATCAAGCACTCTTTGTGTCCAACTCGACTCATGACGATGGAAGGAACACCGCCGACCATTCCGCGGTGTGAGTAATCTATGCCTGAAGTGTGGTTTACGCAGCGCTTGGTTCGCAAAGCACTCCTTTCCCTGGACGTCAAGAAGTTGATTGACCTGAAGGTATCCCTCTAATGTGGTAAGGACGTGTGCTCTAGAGTTGGCACCGATTCTAACGCGTGATTTCTGGTACTCGTAGCCCCTAGGCATAGTCCCGAATTTGCGTAAAACAACTTCCGTGCACCTGATCCTTAAGAAGGTAACCGCTTTGATCCTTCCAATTACAGGCCTATTGGTATTACCTCCTGGTTCTCGAAAATAATGGAGTCCATCAATAACTACCAGCTCATGTAGTAGCTGGTAGTACTCAGCTGGTGGTCTTCTTGGTTATCTAACACACCGATGGCGGCAGGTGGTCGAGTCCAGAGGGACGGCCTTGACGGTTAGTTTGGACATTGCGAAGGCCTACGATTGGGTCTGGCACAAAGTGAAGAAGCATTTCAGCAATCAAAATTTCTTTCCCTAGAAATTGCAATTGCATTGCAATTGGATCACTACTTTTATTTCTCGGGAAAAAAGTACTGGAACAAATTTGTGTCTGAAGTCGAATATTTGCTGAACTCAATACACAGAAGACACAATTTTGCGCATTTAGCGCTAAAAATAACCACTTTGTCGTATCTCCTCAGTTCCAAGGCAATCCCGTTGTTG